TAACTGTTGTAGATTTCATTGACTGGTGCCATGTTTTCGTTTGACCACGGCTAGCCCTTTACCAGCCTGACCCTATATCAGCTAACATGGCCCGTCGAGGAAAGCGATGACTAGGCATACGTAGCACATGTCCAAACCATCTCAGTCGATGTAATTTCACAGTCTCGTCGACTGACTTCCCCTCCTTACCTAGCAGTCGACTCCTAACCTCAATATTGCTCACCTTATCATACCACTTCACGCGGGAGATAGGACGCAGACACCTATGATCAAAGACAGCTAATCTTTTCAAGCCTTCTGCGCTCAATGGCCAGGTCTCACAGCCATAAAGGAGGACGGAGCGGACTGTTGAGCAGTACACACGCCCCTTGGTCGATAGTCGGATATCGCGTCTATGCCAGAGACGGCGTAAACTGGCATATGCGAAACTAGCCCTCTGTATTCGTGCTGAGAATAAAACATTATCAGGGTGAGGCGCGTGCAAATAACACACAGCCTTCTTCAAACCTTGCACACAACCATTAGGTCGCGTACTATCCGCGACCTAACGGCTTTTGTCAGTCGATCAGTAAATGATGTCTAATTTTCTGGACGACTGGTGATGATATCCTGATAAACTGGTGCATTTTTGTGTTAAGTCACATTATATTTTGACTTATCATAGAATACTGACAATAAGTGCCCGGAGTTGACACGGGATGATGACCGATTGCGTCACTAGTCTTGTTTACAATGTAGATGTAATCAGTACAATGCCACCATAGCCGTCCACAGTCTCGTACACTGTTTAGTTGAACAACCAGTTTCAGTCTTTGATTACAGAACGACGTATGATTGTCGAAGATGCAGACAACTGGTTCTCCATATTTTCTGATAGACTGTTATTCAAAACGTCTAAATTCTTCATAAACAGAATATTTTTGACCTTCCAGTTTATAAAACCTCACCTCGTTTACGAGCTCGCTAGCTTTCTAGCCGGTCCCAAACTCGCGTGAAGAGTAAAGGTCGGACGTGGGGGGTAGCGATCCTACACCACCAAAACAATCAATCTGCTACACAAACTTCAGTGCACAGGAAAAATACAGAAAATATAACAAATCAGACTTAATTCTCTCTGGAATTAGAGAGGCGAAATGACATAGCAGGCTGGTGAAAGCCTTCGGGAAGCCAGTCAGTTGATGTGTCGTCTTCCAATAATGTCAAGAACAACAATGTGAGTGTGGAGTGTTCGTACAATGTACAAAGCTGGAAAGGCTGCCGAGTTAGCCAAAGAAATGAGGAGATAAGGTATAGAAGTGCTGGGAATTTGCGAGAGCAGATGAAATGGATGTGGATTGTCAAAATTGTCAACTGGAGAGTCAATAATCTACTCCGATCTGTCATCCAGACGACGACTACGAGCACACTGAGTCAGTCAATAGCTATCATGATGTAACCAGTGGCAGCCAAAGCCCTAATACAGTAAGAACCAATCTCCTCCAGCAAGATCATGACAACAAGATTCAAATCAAAAGGAAGGTCACAATTATCCAATGCTACGGACAGTGCTACAAACAATGCGGAACGAGACAAGAAGGAAGAGTTTTACAGACAACTACAAACAGTAATGGACAACATTCCGAAAGCTGGCACAAAAATCCTCACAGGCGATATGAATGCTAGCCGAAATGGGAGCAAATTATATAGGAAGAGAACTCATCATCGATCGAGAGGCTCTGGGAGAAATGAATGAGAACGGAGAATTATCCGCAGAATTCTGCGCTTTCAATGATCTGGTGATCGGAGGCAGTGTGTACAAACACAAGGATATACTCACAGCAACATGGATTTCGCCTGAAGGAAATACCACAAACCAGATAGATTTCATCTCAACACTGTTCAAGGATGTGAAGACGCAGTCTTCTGGATACAAAGTCGACAAGGAGAGCAGATGTGGGCTCACACCGTCATCTAGTTTTAGGAACCTTCAAGGTGAAGATGAAATCCCTCAAAACAAATGGAGACAGGCCACAACTCAAGTTTGGCATTCAGAAACTGAACCACAAAACCACAAATCAGAGCAAAGTCGGAGACATATGATTATGAGCAATAATTTGTGCTCGATAAGTCATCAGTTAATATAACTGTACAACACTGTGTGATTTATGAAAATAAAATCTTATCTATAATGGAGTTATACTCTACTACTGTGCCCAAGTTTTATACTTACATCAAGAACAAATAGCACCAGTCATCATCAATGGGAGAAATTTGAAAGAGGTTACTTCCTTCAATTATCTCGGCAGCATTGTTTCAGTTACAGGTAGCAAGCACGCGTGAGGATGTGGATGCCAGCCAGAATTGGAAAGCCAAGACAAACCTTCATCACTCTGAAATCAGTTTGGACATCCTCCGCACTCAGCCAGCATAAAGAACAAGATTCGGATTTTCAACACCAATCTTAAGCCAGTCACTTCTTCTATATAGGTCAGAAACGTGGCCAGCGGATCACGAAAGCCAACTGCAGACATTTATCAACAACAGCTGCCTTCGCTGAATCCATATTAAAGATCAAATAGCCAGCGAGAAAGAATCAGCAACGAGAAATTATGGGGACAAACCAATCAAAAAAATCGATTGCTCAACGAATATGTGGGAGAAAATGAAGATGGACTGGACACACACTGAGGAGACCGTCGAATGACATCGCATGCCAAGTCATGGCTGCAGTGGAATCAGAATGGGGGAAACGACGATTCGGGAGTGTGGTCAATGGTGACATGGAGGAGATTGGTGTTGTGAGGAGGAGATGAGAGATTATGGACGATTCGTGGACCTGCCTAAAGAGGATAGCAGAGAATAGGACAAAGTGGAGATGCGCTGTTGAAGCCCTGTATTCCACTCGGAACCAAAGGGAATAAAAAGAATAATAGTAAAATTCTTAAGCATGACACTGACGACACTTTGGCCGCAACCATTACGTACTGGTTCAAATAATTAACAGACACTTCTCTACTCTCATACAGGCTAATCTGGAATGAATTTTCAACGCACAAACATGCAATAAAGTGTAACACTTCAAAGTTGCCACTCTACACACACACACAAATAGAGCAAACACATACAGATACAGAAAGAAAAAATGTTACCAACAGTTTCAAGCCACTGGTGGTTACTAGCATCTCTGCACCTTCCTACATGGATTAAACGCATAGCCTAAAACTGCATGCATTGTTGCCATGTTTCGATTCGCTTTCCAACACAACCCGACGTCAACTAACATCAATCGACGAGGAGGAGCAATGGCTTGGTGTGCATGCGTAACATGTGCCCCTGCCATTTCAATCGATGCAGCTTCACAAACTGATTGATTAACTCTCCTACTCACATAACTTAAATATCTCCCCCTATATTATACCGCTTAACACCCATCCTGCAAGTGTAACTCAACTTGAAAAAGGCTCTCTCTTCTAATCTAAAACGAAGATAAGCACATGGAGTCCAGAACATGACTGCGTTTACACAGTTGTCAATTTTAAACTATGATTTATACGTTTTGTTAGCCTCACAATCAACAATCCGCAAGTCTACACACACTTATGCCCCACTAATACAGATAAGTGCATCCGTGTATCACGTTTCGCGTTAAAAGAGGGGATTAGGTCAAAAAAAATGTGTAATGTTTTGTGATCATAACGTTATACTTTTATTTTACAATATGGCATAGGATAAGATGAATCTCAGAAAACCATAACTACATATCCGGTATTACCAATAATCGAAACTGGTAAATACCCAAAAATTGGTTGCAAATTTATGACCAGCCAAACATGTAGCCGAGTGCTTTGGATATTAATCCAGAATCCCTGTCCCGTCGAACCTACAGTAATGAAAAAAAAAAAAATTAAGGAATAAAGGGGTTTGTAAACAATTATATCAGTTAAGTATAATCTGAACGAGGTAAAATGTTAACTCAAGTAGTCACCGACAATTTCGGTCTGTATACAATCGCTGAGTTTCATTCTAAAAGGAATTGCTGATATGCAGTGCTTAGAATGCTTATTTCTTCCTAAGCTTCACTTGTTCATGTGTGTGCTGATGATGAGTCCCAAACGAAAATGAAACAGCTGTCCAGTCCACCCACGTTCTCCAGTGGTTCTCTAACCGATGTCAGCTCATGATGAAATCCTGTAACCAGTCAAATCCCCGCAAACCAACACCTTGATAGTTAATCTAATTCTAACTAGCAACTGCCTGTATACAGAAAGTTACGTGGAGTTCTAGTGAGAAGTCGCAACCAGCGGAGTCCACCAAGTCAGGGAGGAGAACAGTTACTCGACCATGACATTGACTGGCGGTTGCGTTATAAACATCGTCAATTAGCAGAAGATGGAATTCATGGACTGACCATCGGATCAGGCAGGTGTCCCAGTGGCTTTATGGCCTACAACCTCACCTTGTAACCAGAAGGTCCTAGGTTCGAAACCCCATGGGTGAGTACTGTTGAAGAGTCCAGAACTAGGATGAGATACCAGTCCAGTACTCCCAGGTTCTTTAATGGTCCTCTAACTGATATCAATCCGTGACCAAAATTGATCACAAAGTTTATTATATTACTCTGCTCACGATTACTCCTACTAATACTACTAAAAATTTCTCATAGAAACATGCCTAGATACGCACTTCACTAACATCCTCAAACCTCGTTGACTGGTAGATACTATGCACTTTCACTCAATTCCATAACAGGCTATAGAAGAAACTGCTATTTTTGGCACATTCAATAACTGCAACAATTATTCAGGCTTAGTGTAAGAGTAGAGTTTGGGTATCGTGGTAGAAAATAATCCAATATATCGGATGATTCGATCAGCAAAGATTCGGTGATTAAACTCTCCATCCACTTAACTATGTTATTATATTGTGCCATGTACTACTATCAAAATTTATCAATAGTATATAGGTGCAGATTGATAGGAAGTAACCTAAATTGAAAAACAACATTTTGAAACAATAGCTACAGAAATAGAAGTGTTTATTTCTCAAATCTGCAACTCGCCTACGTTGTGGTCAGAAAACAACCTCAAGATTTAACCCCCAAAAAATCAACAACTAATCAGAACAACCTACTGTCAGTAGACAACTTCACGTCCCAAAAGTTTGACCTTCAGAAAACTAACAACCAATCAGAATAGTTTATTATCCGTTGATCTAGTCGACCATAAATATAGCTAAAAACGTATAAATACGGTGAGTCTCACTAACAAAAAGGTCCCTTACCAAGTCTTATCCGGTTACAGATTCATAGTCGCGGACACTGACGAAAGCTATGGCCTTTTTGACCTTCCCTCATTAAAATCACTGTGTGCATTTATAGTAAACGAAATCCTTAAACTTTGGAGGGAAATAAAAATAATAACTAAGCAGATTGTGGGGAGTGGAAAGCGAAAAGGACATGAAATGAGAGTTGGTCAACTTACACTTGCTGTTCTTGACAGACTTGTTGGTCGATTAGATGCAGCCAACGATCGCATTGAATTATGTCTGCCAATGCTACTACCTACTGGTTTGTCTGTAAGCATATTATTGCCAGAATCCATTCCAGCATTTAATGATGGCGGCTTCAATCCACCCATATCTCTATTCGGAGTTCTATTCATTGTTCCAGTTGTTTTATTGTTAGCATCATCGATACCACGGCGAATATTGTTCATACTGTTGTTATTCGATGGACTAAGGAATACAGAATCATTTATATTACTAGTGTTTGTCTGTCTACAAAACACACCAGACTTTTCTCCATCTATTACTTGCTGTCGATGAACAAAAAGAAAGCAATAAATAATTAGAATTGCCAATCATCCCATTAGTGTAAAGCGACATGAGATGGTGGTAAATGGCTTGCAGTAGGAACTAAAATGCACCTTTCGTCTGATTCGGAGCTCATCAGCAGGATAATGTGATGGTATTCGCAGTGAATCATAACACTTTCCCCTCTCTCCCCCGCTGAGACTCGAACTTAGCATCCAACGTTTCAAGCACTACACATAGTTTTTCATTAGGCCACTGTATGGGGAGGGGCAGCAGTTATTAGCTGTTATTTTATGAGGTAGGAGAATCATACACACACACACACACACAGAACACGTCGACTTTTTGATGGTTGGTATGTATTAAATGGCAGTAAAAAGATCACCAGTTTCTGCACATCACTCTGTGAGCAAGTAAACGGACAAAATTCACATTGGTAGAAGTGTTTCCACTATATTATTAGTATTCGCTATCTGCAAAATGTGATTACTAGCACTACTCTTTTTGACGTCAACTTTGTCATTACATACAGAGTGGGTAGACATAGGTCCCATAGATTGTACAATTGCGAAATTACACTAATCTATTATTAACATGGGTCGTGGATGAGAAATAGTACGAAAACAAAGTGCAGTGGCTATTTGTGGTTCTATAACTGAGAACCATCTTTTTTAAACTGGAACTGGGAACAGTCAAAACTCAAGTGTTAGCAGTCAACAACTTCATGTTGCATCATCAATAGCTTACTCCATATAGGGTCATTTTCAGGTTATCAATCGATTTTGATTAGTTATCGCCATCGATTGAGAATATATTATCTCCTTACAGTTAGTCAACTAAGAGAGTTCACAAACTTTCCGTTCATACAATTTTATGATTTATTTACAGAGGTTTCAATTTTTAAAAGAAACATCTCCCAGTATAGCTAAGTAAAGGTGTAGTGAAAACCATCAACAGTTCGATATTTGATCATCTGGTCCAAACCAGCCACAAAGCCAGCATTGAAGAATCCTTTTCTATCATCTACCGTGTGCCAAATAAATTGCCGAAAACAGCGAAGTACCACATGCTCCAAACAGCAGAGGCTATTTCAATTCGCCTCAAATAACCAGTGCTTTGTGTGCAAAAGAAGCAAGTCCAGCCACTACTATTGCCCCGGCCTTTAGTGGAGATTATAAATCCATGAATTTGTATTATTATCTTTACTAATTTTTCTGACATTTAGTTTATTGTTATATTGATGCTATTTAACTATAATCTATTGATATTCGTGGTTATTTAAACATTAATGTTGTTCACAACACTAATTCATTCATTCACTATAATGTATATATAACTGCAGAGCCTGATGATGAAGTTATCGAAAAGAGTATTCTTTGTTCAGTATCCATTCTTTGGAAACAGTAATGATAGTGACTTCAAAAGAATAATTTAAGCTCCAAGTACAGTTCACCAACCCAACAAAATTGTTAAAATCAATATAAGAAAGAAAACCTACTGTTTTTAATTGAGCACTTTCACGTTGTAATTCAGCTGTTTGTTGTCGGATTCGACGTCGATTCTCTTCAACTTGTGACAGCTGAATTTTAACACGTTCTAATTCTTGTATTCTATTTCTATCTTCTTCCCGTTTAGCTTTTAAAGCATCAATTTGTTCACGAAATTCGATTACTTCAGCACGTAGATTTGCCAGTTCCAACTCTGTGTCTGGGATGTACTTACCAGTACCACTTGGAACAGCTGATACAGATGTTTTTGGTATTTTTTGAGACGTATCTCTAAGTTCACTTGGTGCATTTTCAGAATCCACCTTCTGCGCAGCCGCTTTTACATCACTAAGTGCTGCTGTCGCTTGCGAGATCTCTGGAGGATTTATTGGCATTTTAATACCAGTAGGGATAGGCGGTGTTGATGTAGTAGTGGTAGTAGAAGTGGGGAGTTTACTCCCACTTATCATCTTACGAGTCGGACTATCCGATTTTGAAATTTGTGTGTAAGATTGACTCATTATGTCACTGGACTTCATAACATCTGCTGCAACAGGTTTATCCGCAGAAGGCTTACTAGAAGGACTTTCAATTTTTGCAGAGGCAGTTTCAGGTTTTAAAGCTGTTGATGTTGGAGCTGGACTACTTCGTACAAGGTCTGGATTAGATCCAGTTGGTGGAAGCTATAAAAGTGAAGAAAAAATGAGTAAAAGTATGGAAAGTGATGGTTTGACATGCGCTGCTTCAAAAAGGAATTGGCGCTCAAAACAACGCCTACACTGACACCTCAAGTGATATGACTGAAGGATTAGTGCGGAACACTGCACAACACTTCATTAGTTCATGGTGCTACACTTCAAAGCACCACATAGAAACTCCAATGCTGAGTGCAAAAATTTACCACCAAGAAGAGAAGCAGATATACCTTTTGTAATTTAGCAAAACACGAGATAACAGAATAAACTGGTACTCATAACGTGCAACACACTAGGTGGTTGTGTTAAACATGTTGTTTATTTTAAATATATACAAGACCACCAAAAACTCAAGCTTAATACATGTACAGTAAAAGGAAGAGTAAAGTTTAACAACAATTTAAA